ACCCCAACCCAACCCCAACCCCAACCCCAACCCCAACCCCAACCCCAACCCCAACCCCAACCCCAACCCCAACCCCAACCCCAAAACCCCAACTCCAACTCCTTAATCCAACCATTATAACATAAACTTAAACCTTAAATTGTTAATTCAACTATTAACACAATAATATTTAAAAAATTATATTTACTAAATATATAATATTTTTTTAATTAATATCGTATTTTCATATTTTAATTTCGGTCCATACTGTACAGAATAAGCGTTAATCATTTTATTTTATAAAATTATTTCTTTAAATCTTTTTTGCCCTATACAAGGAAAAATTTAGCGCGTAACCTCTATGCCAATATGCATTATTGAGAAGGTCGAGTATACACTATAATTTAATTTTTTCTTTATAAAATATATATATTTTTTTTTATAAGTATTACTCATTTTAATTAAAATTTAAACTTATTTTAAAATATTAATCCTTTAATATAAGTATTTATATATTATATAACATAATTATTTAAATATATTTAGTTAAAATAATTTTTTTTCTAAAAATAATTAAATATTTAATTTGTATTAAATATATATATATTTAATAAATTTTTTAATTATTTAAATAAATAAAAATAATAAATAATACATTATATATTAATATAGATTTAAAAGATAATAAAAATATAATTTAGATTTGATATTTATAATTATATATTAAATACTTGTATAATTAATAATAATATTTAATAATTATATATTAATTAGTTACTTTTTATTAATTTATCTACTAATAATTTTTTAATAAAAAACATAAAAAAGTCTTAAGATCATCATAAAATATAATTAATAATCTTATAATTAAAAATCAATAACTCTATAAATATAAATAACTTAAAAACCTGATTGATAGAAAATTGAAAAACTTTATAGAAAATTAAAAAAATCTAATAGAATATGAGAAAAATTGTATAAAACCCTTAAATACCGATATGTAACCTAAAAATAATACTGCGATAAACAGATAAATACAGATATGAAACCGAATAATACCGAGATGAAACAGATAAATACCGAGATGAAACCGAATAATACCAAGTTGAATACAAATTTAAAAAACACGTTTATACAGACTATTTATAGAGGTTGGTAATGCTTAATTATGCAGTTAGCATATTTTTTTATTAGTTTTTAAGGGTTAGTTATGTGGTAATTAAGGCTTACTTATGTTTTTGGTAGAGCATAATTAAACAAAATAATTAACCACTAGAAACACAAAATAATTAATAACCTAAAATAAAAATTGAATATTTATTATTATTTTGAACAACTTCCTGATGTCAGAATTCAAATATAAAAACTGAAAACAGAATTTAAGACACTAATCAACCAATATATATTTACTTAAGAATAAGTGAAAAAATTAATTTAATTAAAGAAATAAAAATATATATATTTTATATCAAATCTTAAGTAAAATGTTATTTTCATATCTAAATATTTCTTAAATTCTTCTTCTTCATAGTAGTTTTAAATAATATAATTATCTTTTAATAATTTAAATATAGCTGATTTATGTTACTTCATATTATAAAGAATATGTTTCTACTTTTAATAATAAAACTGTCAAAAATATGTTCCCATACACAATATTATTGTTTTTTATTATTAAAAAAATATTTTTAATTTCTTCGTATTATTAATTAATATTATAATCATTTTATTCTTAAATTTTATAAGCGTTCTTATAAATCGTGCATTTTATGCATTTTTTTTTTCTATTTTCTAAAGCATTATTAATCTATTCTACATTTTTTTTTACTATTCATATTATATACCAAATTAATATTTCGTTTAATGTTTTAATTAATATATAATTAATTATATTCAACATTAGAATAATCATAATTTTATTATTCTTCATCTTATACATAAAAATTCTTAAATTTCGTCATCTAAAATTAAACCTTAAGCTATTTTATATTTATTTTTATCCATTTTATAATATTATTCTAATTTTTATTAAACTGTTTGTATTTATTAGAATCTATTTAACAATTTATTATATTATATGCTTTTTTAATTTATTTGATTCTCTGATATATATTTTAATTTATCTAACAAAACAAAAAACGAATTATTATTGCTTTACTTTTAGAATTAATATATTTCATTTATTTTAAATTTACTTATTAATATTTTTATATACTCCTTAATTCTTAAGATAGTGTATTTTTAAAAGGAGCTAAATATTTAAAACATTAATTTAAATATGTATATTTTAATCTTGATTTAAAATTTTTTAATTCTAAATTTTATTATTGGTATTTTTTTTATTTTACACTTATTAACTTTTTATTATTATCATTATTTATAGAAAAGTTCGAATATTGACTTTTAGATCTTAATCTAATAATAAAAATTTATTAAGGTGATTAGATTTTTAATCCATTTTAAAAAGAATTATTCTTATTATAATTTTAAATTATTTTTAATTCTTTATCTTAAATTAGAATATAATTTTTTATGATCTTTATTTTTTTTAAGTTTTCCAATAAATGTATTATTTTTATTAGTTGTTTAAATCAAATATATAATTTTCAATTAATAAAAGATTATGAACATAATATAATTTATATTTTTCTTTAATTTATTTCAATTCTAGATTAAATGTTTTTTATTATTGATTTTTAGTTATTTTTATTATAAATATTTTTAAAAAGTGAATTAATATAAATTTTAATTTAAATTAAAAAATAAAAATATATCTAAAAATAAATATAACTTTATAAGAATTATTTTTTAAATACAAATATTAACAATTAAATTATAAATGTTAAAATTTTTGTAATTTAGATTAAAAATAATTATTTTATTATAAAATATATTTTAGTATATAATATAACTAATTATAACTAAAATTTTATATTTATTAATAAATATTTTATATATAAAGAACTTTTTATATTTTATTTATATATTTTTAAAATAATCAAAATATAATATAATATTAATTCATATAATTTGAATTATAAAATTTATTAGTTATTAATTCATATATATTACGAAATATCAGAATTTTATTTTAAGAAATTCTAATTTTTTTATAAAATAACTAAACAATAATAATAAAAGTATATATTTAATTATTGAAATTGTAAATTATAATTTAATAAAGCTTTCAAACGAAAAATTTTTAAACTTAATTAATCTCAACTGAATTAAATTTAAACTGAAAATTTTCATATATATTAATTTTAAAAACTCTATTTAAATCTCTTACTTTTTGATTATAAAAATAAGTACTGATTGTAATTAAAAATTAAAAATAAGTAGATAAGGGAGTATTATAAATTATTTATTTAGAATTATATTTTTATATTTTTAAGCAACCACATAAAATATTAAGTATACTATCAGTTGATTCATAAATTATATTAATTAAGTTATATTTAAATTTAAATATTGAAACAACTTTTAACATATGAATATTAATATCAAACATAATATATAATTTAATGATAACTCATATATATTCTATTATAAAAATATTTAATTAATTTACGAAAACTAATAAATTAATAATTTTTCATAACATATTTATATGTTTTCTTTCAGAGAATTTAATAGCAATTTGAATATAAACGTTGATAATTTTACATAAAAAATTAAATATTAAATTTAATTGTATTTTAATTTATTTATTATAGAAATAATAGAAAAAAAATTGATTTCTTAATTAAGTTTTTTGTTTTTTTATATTATTTTATTATTTCAAAAAAAATATTTATTTAATATCATATTTTTATTTTAATAAAATATTTTACTTTTAAAATTATTGAAATTAAGGGTTTATATGGTTTTTAATTATTTTATTTAAAGGTTATAAAAGTATAATTATAAAAATATAAAAATTTAACATAATACTAATATATTTGTTCAAACAATTTTTTATGTTATTAAAATAAAATTAAGAATTAGAAAAAATAGTTTAAAAAAACATTATAATATTTATATTTTTAAAAAAATTAATTTTTTTAAAATAAATTAATTTATAATATTTTATTATCAGTTTATTACGATTATGACTTCATATTTCATGTGCTATAATTTTGCTTATTTTTACTTTTTCTCTTGCTTTCACTTTTTATTTTTGTTTTTATAAATATATTTGTATTATATTACATTTTTTTATCAAATAAATTTCAAAATATATAGTTAGAAATAAAAACATATCTTAAAATAAAGTTAAACAATGATTAGTATAAATCAAACATTATTTGCTTATGTAATATTAAATTTTATAAAATTAATACTAAAATAAAATAGTTATATTATTAACTTTATTCATGGCTCATGATTCATGATTATATTATATTATATTATATTATATTATATTATTTTATAATTATAATTTTTTATATAATTATTTTCATTATTAAATATTTAAATAAAATGTATTTTTTAATTACTTATGTTTTAGTAATTAATGATCAAAACTAATAAAATTCATAATTGAACAATAAATTAATCATTTTATTATAATAAATTTTAATAGAAATTGTATTTATAATTTTTATTATCTTATAATACTATAATTATTTTAATTTTGTTTGTAGATATTATATTTATATTTTTTTATCATTTAATTTTTAAAAATTGATATTTATTTTGAATTTGAAAAAATTTTATTTTAAATAAAATAAAATGAATTAAAATAAAAATATTACTTATTAACAATAAAAAGATATGTATAAAATTAAAAATAACTTATTTATATAAATATAAAAAAATTTATTAAAAAACTCAATAATATTTTTAATTTAATATAAATATAGAAAAATAAATAATATCATAATATCTATGTAAAAATAAAAATAAAAACATGTTAACCTTTATAATAAAATTTAAATTTAAAAAATTAATAAAAAAAAGAAAAAAAGCATAATATAAATCAAAAAAGCAAACAAAAAATGGAAATTTAATAAGGATCTCCCAAAAACTTAGTCAATTAAGGTTAGTCTAGTTATGTATCTAATTCTAATAATGGATAGAACTTATAACAAGGAATAACCTAACTAGTTGGTTAAGTTACTACTGGAGGAAATATAATATAATCTTAAAACATGGCTTATGAACATAGAAATAGTTTAATTGGATAAGGATAAGCTTAATCTAGAGTTGTTTACAGATCTGAATCTCCTGTGAGATATGTAACTGAAAACGATAATGCAAGAATTATTGGAAAATAATCTAATTTGGTCACTTCTTATGTCCCTGTTTAAAACTATTAAACTGTTTAAACAGTCTAAACTGTACCTATATAATAAGTATAAACTGTTTAAACTGTACCTATGTAATAACTGCAAACTGTTTTTGCTTAAGTATAACCTGTTGTTTAATATTAATAAGTGCCTATTTAATATGTAGAATAGTCTAAATAATAGCAAATTTAAATTTAAGAAAGGATAGTAGAAAAACCAGTTTACATTCAGAGTGATAACAGCGAATAAATTTTAGCTTTGAATGAAAGGATTAGAATGTAAAAAAAAATTGATTTATTTTATTATTAATATTTATTTATGATTAATAAATAATTTTTTAAAAAAAAATTAATTATAAATAAAAATAGATTAGAATAAAAAAACTCTGAATATCTTTTAGAAATTTAAACAATAAGAAATAGGCCTATTGAAATAAGAGAAAAAATAATTTACAAAGAAAACACTGAAAAAATAAGCTAATTAGAATTATAAATTTAATAATTAATTGCTTAATAAGAATAAAATCATGAAGTTGTTAAAAGAAATAAAAAAAATAATGAAGGATAAATCTTAGCAATAACATAAGAAAGAGATAAATTATTAGTAGAATTGAATAAATACTAATCTTAATGTTCTTAATTAACTACCTAAATCGAAAAACTTAACTAAATTGTTATTCAAAAAGAATCTGAATTAAAATAATTACAAAATAATATTTAATCATTGAACTAACAACTTATTGACAAATCCAATATTAATATAAGAAATTAAGAATATGAGCAAAAAATAGTACTACTAACTTAATAAATCGAAAAACTATCTTAATAAATTAAGTATATAAATAATTAAATATATATATAAATAAATATATATATATATACATATTTAAATAAAATTAGAATTAATCGTGAATAATATGATGGAGAAATAAATAAATTGAAAGAAACAATAGTTATACGTTAGAGAGAAAATGATGAATTAAGAGTTAAAATCTAATAATATAGTTCTTATGAAATAAGAATTAATGAATATTAATCTAAATTTAATTTACTTTAATAAGAAATCGAAAAGCTAAATGTTCTCTTAGCAATTAAAGACAATGAGCTCAAATCGGTAAGGACTGAAATATCTAATTATTAAGTTTAAATTAATTCTTTTGGAGCAAGCAAATAAGAAATTACAAGATTAACTGAAATAATCTCAATGAGAGAAAAAGAAGTAAATGAATTAAGAACTAGAGTTGTCTAACTAGAATAATCGAATTCATAAATAAACGTCTATTAAGCTAAATTATAAGAATGTGAACTTAACAATTAATAATTAAGAAAAAGAATTGAAGAATTAATGATCTAAGTCAATGAACATAGTAATGAATTAGTAAAGAGATCTAAGAGAGAAGGTGATATCTAAAATTATATTACAAACATTTAAATATAAGAAGAAAAAATAGTAAAAATGAGTTAATAATTAGAATTATCTTAAAAAAGAATTTCTTAACTTGAATAGGAAATTAACTCTTATAGAATTAAAATAAGTGAGTATGAAAGCAGCAAGGCTAATATTCCTGTTTATGAAAGTAGAATTAATTAACTTACCTAGTAAATTGAAAGCTTAAATAGCTTAGTTGTTAATAAAGAAAATGAATTAAGAACCGTTAGATCTGAAATTTCATAATATTAAATCTAAATTAATTAAGTTGGCGTTTCTAAATAAGAGATTACTAGACTTACTGAAATAATATCTGTTAGAGAAAGAGAGAATAATGATTTAAGAGGCCGAGTAGCTTAATTGGAAAATAGTTCAAGATAGATTTAATTATATGAAAGTAAAATTTAATAATTAGCTCAATAAATTGAAAGCTTGAATGCACTGATTATTAATAAAGACAATGAGCTCAAATCGGTAAGGACTGAAATATCTAATTATTAAGTTTAAATTAATTCTTTTGGAGCAAGCAAATAAGAAATTACAAGATTAACTGAAATAATCTCAATGAGAGAAAAAGAAGTAAATGAATTAAGAACTAGAGTTGTCTAACTAGAATAATCGAATTCATAAATAAACGTCTATTAAGCTAAACTATAAGAATGTGAACTTAACAATTAATAATTAAGAAAAAGAATTGAAGAATTAATGATCTAAGTCAATGAACATAGTAATGAATTAGTAAAGAGATCTAAGAGAGAAGGTGATATCTAAAATTATATTACAAACATTTAAATATAAGAAGAAAAAATAGTAAAAATGAGTTAATAATTAGAATTATCTTAAAAAAGAATTTCTTAACTTGAATAGGAAATTAACTCTTATAGAATTAAAATAAGTGAGTATGAAAGCAGCAAGGCTAATATTCCTGTTTATGAAAGTAGAATTAATTAACTTACCTAGTAAATTGAAAGCTTAAATAGCTTAGTTGTTAATAAAGAAAATGAATTAAGAACCGTTAGATCTGAAATTTCATAATATTAAATCTAAATTAATTAAGTTGGCGTTTCTAAATAAGAGATTACTAGACTTACTGAAATAATATCTGTTAGAGAAAGAGAGAATAATGATTTAAGAGGCCGAGTAGCTTAATTGGAAAATAGTTCAAGATAGATTTAATTATATGAAAGTAAAATTTAATAATTAGCTCAATAAATTGAAAGCTTGAATGCACTGATTATTAATAAAGATAATGAAATTAGATCTGTAAGGACTGAAATATCTAATTATTAAGTTTAAATTAATTCTTTTGGAGCAAGCAAATAAGAAATTACAAGATTAACTGAAATAATCTCAAGAGAGAAAAAGAAGTAAATGAATTAAGAACTAGAGTTGTCTA